ATATTTTTGCTAGTAACTTGGATACATATAAGTTTATATTTGTGTTTATTTGAGTTATTGCTAGAGATAGTTGCATGTAATTAGTTGTTATATTGCATTTTTTCTGTATTTGTATTTTTTTTGTTTATATTGATTCTATTTATTTGCATATTTTGAGTTTCAGTTTTGTCTAAACTGAGGTTTTGTGTCTTTGAAATATCTAAGCTATTATTAAGTAGTGCACTGCTGCTTATAGTAGTTGTTGTATTACTATTATCTGAAATAATCTGCATTTTATTATTTTTATTGTCTAAGTTTGTTGTAATTTTTTATATAACTAATGATATTATTTTGGAATTTTTCAGGAGTAAGCTAAATTGCTCACTTTTTGTATTAACAAGAGTAATTATAATAGCAGTACATCTTTTTTTATTGTTACTAGTAAGAAGCTAAGTTGTTTGTACTTTTGATATAGTTTTCCTAACTGCTATTATATTATATATAATTGTATTTATTAGAAATTTTTAAGAGAGTTATATAAGGAAACTTTTTCTTGTAAATTGAAAAAACTTTTCTTATTATTGCTGTTCTGGTTTGTTACTTTTTTTCTTCTTTATTTTGTATTATTTAACTTGTGCTACTTTTGTTGTTTTCCTATTATATACAAGTATATGTTAGTTCAAAAATTTATAATTATTTAATATTAGTATCTGGCTCTATCTTATTTAGTTTTTATTTTATTATTTTTTTGCAATATATAGAATAAGTTTTTTTTTAATAAAAAAAAATAACTAAAATAATATATATTAGTAAAATATATAATTTTAAAAATTATTATTTTTATGAAATTTGAATTAAGGGTAAGATGAACATAGATTATTTTCATATGACTTAGATGATATAATAGATTTTTATATAGTAAATTAAAATGTGTTATTAATAAAACTTTTTTATTTTTTAATTAATTTTTATTAAAATTCAATAATATATAGATTTAAATAAGTTATTTATTATGTTAAAATTTTATAAGATTTTAATTTAAAAAAAAATATATTTGTATATATCTTGAATTTTCTTAGAACACTATGTTTTTCTTAGATTACACAAAAAGTCAACTTTAATTGGTTAATTTCTGAAAAACTATAAGAAAATTTTAATAAATTTTTATATCTAATCTTTAAAATTTTATATATTGATGAGTTTTGAACCAATTTTAATAATTTTATTACTGTTAAAATTACAAGAACCTACTCTACAACTTTACTTAAGAGCTTAAAAAATATTTAATTAGTAAAAACTTTTATAATTAAAATTATAAAAAAAATACCATTATGTTTATATATAATTTTAAAATAATATACCCTACTTTTTAAAAAAATAAATATAAACTATTTATTTATTTTATAATTTAAAAAAAAATAACTAGAATAATAAAAATAGTAAAATATATAATCTTAAAAATTAATACTTTTATAAAGTTGAAAAGTAAAATATATAATATTTATTTATTTTATAATATAAAAAAAATAATTAAAATAGTATATATTAATAGAATATATAATCTTAAAAATTGTTATTTTCATGAAATTAAAGTTAAAAAGAATAAATATAAGACATTCATTTATTTATAATCTAAAAAAAATAATTAAAATAGTATATACTAATAGAATATATAATCTTGAAAATTACTATTTTCATAGAATTAAAGTTGAAAAAAGTAAATATAAGATATTTATTTATTTTGTAATACAAAAAAAAAATAACTAAAATGAGAAATATTAGTAAAATATATAATTTTAAAAATTACTGTTTTTATAAAATTGAAGTTAAAAAGAACAAATATAAATAATTATTTATTTTACAATACAAAAAAAATAGAAAATTTTGTTAATAAGTAACTTTGTTTAAAAAGTAATTATTAGAAAATAATTATGTTAGAGAAATAATATGTTGAAAAGATGATCATATTAAAAAAAATATAATGTGTCAAAAAAAAGATTATGTTAGATAATAAATATGTTAAGAAAATAATTATGTTAAAGAAATAATTATATTAAAGAAATGATTATATTAGAGAAATGATCATATTAAGGAAATGATCTTGTTAGAAAAATAATTGTCAGAAAATTAATATGTTTAAAAAATTATTATTAAAGAAATTAATATGTTAAAAATAATTGTTAGGAAAATGACTGTTAGAAAAGAGATTATTGAAGAAATGATTGTTAGAAAAATAATAGAAATCCAATTTTTGTCAATAGAACAAAAAATTGTTAACAAGATTATAATTAGATATTAATATTAATAAATAAATAGAACAATAGAATAGAGTAATAGAAATTAAAATAAAATATAATTTTTATTAATAGAACAAGAAATTGACAACACTGGTAATATATATTTAACATAAATCACTGCTTAACTTAAAACTAGTAAAGAATATACACTTTAAGGCAGTGTTTTACATTTTTCACTGTTCAAGGCTTTTTTGACCAGGACAAACGTTCAAATGTTCAAATGTTCAAGAGTGTCCAAGCATGTCCAAGCTCTAATAATTAATAAATTTATCTAAAAAATATATGATTATATATTTTTTTAGGTTCTGAATATTTTTTACTTAGAAAAGTATATAGATTATCTTAACAAAGCTGTCCATTGACAACAATGCCCTAAGGGGTACCAATGTCCAACTTTTACGAGATGTGCTGCATTAAGAAAACAGATGAAAATAATGTAAATTAGAATCTGATTACTATGATATCTATAGATTAAGGATACACTACAAGAATCAAACAATTCAAGGATTAAGCATAGGTCATTTATCACCAACAAGTTTACGTCTATAGTAAAACCTAATCTGAACTTTAAGCTCCAAAAAAATTATTGTCGCGGCTGATGCTGAAATTTGGGGTCTCGATTTTAAATATAATCCTTGCTAAAATCCACTTTATTTATCCAAAATTCTAACTCAACCCTAAAAAAAAGGCGGAAAAAACCACCCCAGAAGATTTTAAAATTTCATATCAAAATAGGTCCAAATGTCAGCAACAGCGTGACAATTATTATAATCTCGTTAAAAATTCAAAAAATGCTTGTTAATTACAAAGAAGTTTACCATATCAATATAGAATGTTGTAGAGTTTGGAACAGATTTCATTTTGAATACAACTTGGTAAAATAATCTTTAGCAAAAAATACTCCCGGATGCCTTTTTTAAACAGTTGGATGTTAAACTGTTATTTTATACAATCAAAATAGGCGATAAGCGTATTTTTGAGTATTATGATCTTTTTTCTGATTCTTTGCACAGTGAATCTTGACACTATTTCAAAGCTTTGTACAATTTTTTATTAGTGCATAAATTTTGGCTCTGTAATTTTGATCAAACTCCTTATATTACTATATGTATATATATAATAATAAATGGCTTTTTATATTATAAATATTTTTCGCTATCTCTCGCTGCGAAAATATTGTGCTTTTTCAATGAGATCAAGTGCCTACACGCAATTGCAAGAATAATGATACCAATATGTTTAATAGGTTGTAAATTTTATTACAAAAAGGTTTCAGTTATAAAACTTAATTGCATTCAGTAGATTCTTTTGCGATTTTTGTTTTCTTTCCAATTCACTACGGTGGTTGCATCAATAAATAAAATAAGATTGGTTTGTTGGTTGCACCTTTTCTTATGATTGATTGTGACAACTACTGGTGAAGATACAATATGGAAGGGTCATGTGTTAAAGCTAGTTAATCAGGTTTAACATATGACAAATCAAGCCAGTTCCCAATTCTAAGTTTTTTTTAGGTTATTTTCGATGCAGAACTATGACTTAACATTAATCACGGAATCCCGATAATCAAGGTTCGAAAATCCAGACGTTTAGCTAGTATTGGCTATAACAGATGTTTTTTGGGATGTTAACAGGATCCAATTTTAATCACTTAAGCTATATACAATGTTCACTATCGCTATATTCATTTATAAATACGCAACATTGTATCCGGACGATATGAAATTGTTACTATGTTGCACTAAAGTATATCCGTAATATGGATCATTTACATATGTATCGAAGCGTTCTCTCCGGACCAATGAAATCACACTTGCATACAGCTACTACATCATTTTCTGCGGTTACTATACCTTTCTGTTTCTAAATGAAAAAAAGAACACCTTTTCCATAATTAACACAAGTAATAAATAAATTTAGAAATTTTAAGGTTATTACGCAATTTGTGTCGCATTTTCAGAGTTTTTAATAGATAGGTTTACTATTGTTAGACAATAACGATAAATTTGTACAATTGAAAAAAGAAATTAAGACTATGTCGCCGTTTTGTTCCTTCTCGGTAGTAGACAAAATTCTTTTCATCATTGAGCATCCTATAGCCCATTAATCTCAATACATTCAAATATAATTAAAGAAATTAGGAGCTTCTGGTAAAAATTACTATGACTAACCGTAAACTACTGACTTGTAGATCCCCAATAACTTCTGCGCAACAATTTGGCTTTTGTTTTATAACATCAATTATTTATTTCTTGATTTATAAAACACACGGTATTAGCCATTGTAAATATCTGGATACACTAGTCAGTAGTTTATGACTTTTCGAAATGTTGTCCTGACAACTTGAAGATTTATCGCATATAAATTGCATTTTGTCATAATTTTATCTTTGCGAACAATCGAAAGGCTTTTAAAGTTTAAGCCACTCATTTCACGATCAAGCAAGAATAATTACAAGTTTCTTCTTATGTACCTGGGCTTATAATAAACGATTATTTAGAAATGTGAGTACCTTCGATCACCGAAATAATATTTACGCTTCGATCTGATTTATGATCTCGAATATTATTTTTATTCTTATTATTTTTTGTTCTCTTCATGCAATCTAATTATATTCGATAAAATAAATGGTTGAATTTTTTTTTTTGGCTCATTTATTTCTTAAATTTCATTATTCTATAAAATTCAAAGTTCTTTGCTCTTGGCATCTAATAAAACAATATAATGCGAACTTTAAGTTCTTTGATACTTTTAGCGGTAGTCGTGATAATTATTACCAATACTTCATTTGCTCAAAATGGTTTGTTCTTGTAAATTCTATCCTCATAATCATATTTAAAAAAAATTCAATGATACAATTTTCGGTGGAAATTTTTGGATAGCTACGAATTATTTAGTTTCATCGTTGCCTGGTATTCCTCAAAATGTTAATTATTCGACTTATGCTGGGTAATGTGCTTTATTTAGAAATAATGGAATTGTAAAACATGACATTACTGAAATATCTTGTCCTTATCTTGTATGTAGCTACATAAATACGTTATACGAAACAACACAAGCAAATTCTTCCGTTTTCTTCTGGCTTATAAGAAGTCAATTTACTGCTGATAGACAAAGACTTGTAGGTTTCACTTTTTTTTTTTTTGTCATTGGAAAGAAATTATGAACATAGCATTTATTAAGCAAAAAACAAAAGATTATTTGGATTAATGGTATTTTTTTTTTCTTTACAATCCTTTAAGTATTGTTAATTATTAAATAATGTATCAAATAATGTTAATCATTTTTAACTTGTTTTAAGATCCTGGATGGTAAATAACTTTTCTGATTCTTATTGAAATGTTCTATATATATGTTATTAAACCTCAATTTTTATGAATGAATGAATTATATAGTTCAAGGTAGGTATATATTTCTACACTTCATATTATTTCTTTATTATAATATTTATTATTAATTTAAATCTATAGTTTGAGTAGTTTATTTTTTGAAATCGGACCATGGAGATTAATTGATAATCAAACATTGAGATCAGCTAATGAATCATGGAACCAATATGCTAATTTATTATTTGGTAAATATTGAAAATAGATTCTTTTTTTTTTTGTAATATTAATTTGATTTTTTTTTTTAGTTGATCTACCCGTCGGATCTGGGTTTAGTTTTACTTTTAATTCTAATAATTATTTGAGAAATTTTACTACAGTAAGATTAAAAAAATATCTTTTAAACATTTAATGATTAAAGTAAATGATATATATATATATATTTCTCAATATAGGAGTCAAATGAATTTTTAAAATTTCTTGATGCGTTTATTACTATCTTTCCAGAATTTTCCCAAGAAGAAGTAAGTCAATTTCAGTTTAAACCAAAGTGACAGTCTAAAGTATCATATTTTTAAATATATCTGATAATATATAATATTAACACTATGTTTTGATACTAAATTTTCCTCATACTTTAGATATATATAGCAGGTGAAAGTTATGCAGGAACACTTATAAGCTATATAGCCACTGCTATACTAGGACGTAATAATCTAACAAGTACTTCAAATAATTTGAAGGTATTCACGAAAAAGCCGGTTATTTGATTTTCTATCGACTTAAAACGCATTTGATGAAGTTTACATTTCTAATAATATAGTATAACCTGCAAGGCATTGCCATTGGAAATGGATGGATTGATCCTCGTACACAGGTACTTTTCTCCATTTAATTTATTATCTGGTTTATTTATCCGAATATATGCTGCCATGTTTTGATCTTGTATAATTGATACGTATTTTTAAATATTTTAAACAGTACACTGCTCAATATACATATGCACTTAGCAATAATCTTATAGGCGATATTTACAAGGTGCTTTTTTATTACGTGTTAAAATCTGAATTTAAATAAATCCTATCCCTTTATTCTTAACTCTATATATGAACAATAGCTGCTTGTTGATAAACAATTAGAGTTATGTTTGCAAACTTTAAGAAACAGTACAACAGTTCGTGTTAAACCTTGTGAACAAACGTTTGGACTTATTGTTAACGGCACTCAAATTGGGTAAATGCATTTTCAGGTGACATTACTAAATAATATTATCTGAATTTAATCCTCGGGGGGTTTTTTTGAATAGCACTGGAAACAACGCGACTTGTATAAATAAGTACGACATTAGAGATCGTTCCAGTATATTTCCTGCATGCGGAGACGACTGGCCTTATAGCCTTCCTACCCTTCAAGCATATTTAAATGTACCTTTTTAATCAAAATTTTTATTATTTAAAAATAGAATTCAATACTAATTTATATTATGCAAATTTGAAGCGACGAGACGTAACCACAGCAATTCATGCTAATGCCGCAAACGTAACTTGGGTTGGCTGTAATACTGCTGTATCTAACCTTCTTTTTAATGATGATCGATCCGGACCTGCATTTGATGTATGTTTTTAAGCAACCTTTAAAAAACAAGCATTAAATGATTGAGATAATCGACTAAATGATTAATAAATTCAAATAGCTGTTTCCTGATATTTTAAGGCAGATAAAAGTTCTATTATATGAGAAAGTATCAATTCCACTTATAAATTTTACTTTATTGTATTGATAAGAAAACTTTTCTGATTAACATCTATTCATGAAATATAGTGGAGACAGAGATTTAGTTTGCAATGTAAACGGAACAACATCCTGGATTAGGAGAATGACATGGAATGGAGCAATAGGCTTCCAGGTACTATTATTCTTTCTTCAAAAACATGAAGGTTCATTCATTCCCTTTTTTATTCTTATATCATCTGTATATTATTATTATTATTTTTTTTTTTAAAAAAAAAGAATCTAACCACTACTCCATGGACTGTAAATAACGCTTTATTGGGTCGAATGATATCAGAAAGGAACCTTACATATGTTGTTGTATATAACTCGAGTCGTATGGTTCCTGCTGATCAACCAAGGATTAGGGATATCATGTATAGGTTTATGGGATTAGATCAAAGATTTTTGCCAAGTTAAACATTTGTATATAGGTCTTTAAGCGTCAATACTAAGAACTCATCCTAGATTTCTCAGAAGATAGAAGTCCATAATCCTTTTTCTAAAATATAAAATAAATCAGAAAATTATTCATTCTTATTACTCCAAAAAAAAAAAAAACGATTCAAAATGCTATATAACTGTTCTGGTTCTAAGTCGCTGTTATAAATGGTTAGTCATTATCCACCGAAGCTTTACGTGGTAACTTCTCTCGATTCATAATTAATTCAAGGTTATATTAATCGTTCTTTTATCATGACGGATAATCTTTATTTGTTGCATCTATTCCTTTATGCAATTCGAAGGTATACTTATAAAGGTAAAACCAGTAAGGATTTAAGTTTCTATGCATGGTTAAAGCGCTTGACCTTAATTTTTAATAAAATAATTAAACATTTCTATTCCTTAACTTTAAGGATATTTGTAAATTACAATGCTTATAGCATTTAATATTATTCCGTGTTTTGGCCACTTTATATTCCTAATATTTTAACCAAAAAAACTTCTTTGGGAAGTTTCATTTAAATATTATAAACAAAATGATAGTAATTATTATTATATAATTTATGATTACAGCTTAATGTTAATTAACTAATCTAAGTATAATAAACTTCACAAACACTAAATGTCTATTACGCACAAATTTAACCAATCGTCAAATATCCAAACTATCGACTATAAAAATATATGTAAAACAATAATAATTAATAATTCAAAAATTATATAAGAATGATACATAGTTAACTGTAATTATCCAATCCAAATTTATTAAACGTATAATAGTTATTGTGCTTTCATTATTTTACACGCAAGAAACCACGCACATTCATCAGGAATCTGAATAAAATTTCCCGGAAACCAGAAACATCTCGACGACGAAGTAAAGTTTCGGGAAGAGTATGCGGAACTCCGGAGGATAGAGTTGCAAAAGCGTCATGAAGTCGAGTGCGAAGTTCAGGCGAATTTTGGTTGGATATGAAAGTTTGTACCAAATGATTGTAATATTCCTGAAATTTTGATGATAATTCTAACTTATCAATAGATAAACAAGCATAATTATTTGATAGAAAATCGCTTACCTTTCTTGAACATATTAAAGCAACCAATGTTTCTGACGCAGGTTCTAATAAGTCTGCCTCAAAATCTTTGAATAAAAAACATTCAAGCACAATTTGTAAAAATTTGTCAAGAGGTGAACTTAGATGCTGTATAGCACTCCCTTTTTTACGCTCTTCATTATGAAAATAAAGAGCTAGTGGTGTAATGGCTTGATATGCGAGACGTGAAACTTCATATATAGGAGTAATTTCGGAGTCAAGGGATTATATTAAAAATCGAGATAAAATCGATATTAGTAAATAAAGGATATTTTTCAATTCCATATTCCAGAGACGCAAATAAATTATGAAGTAATTCAGCAGGAAGAACTCCTAATTTATCTGGATAAAATTCCACAATATGGGCAATTAATCTCATATATTCTTTACAGATTTTCGGGATCTGTAGTAACAAATATGATTTGAATTAGTTCAAGAAACTCCCAATTCAAATGAACGAATTAAAACACTTACCTCCAAAACCTGAAGATTAATCAATGGCATTATAAGATTAACCCCATAAAAAACAACATTGGATACATCAGAATCTGTTGTTTTTGCTTCTTGTGCCAAATCATCAAATGCTGTAAAAAGAAAATCCAGAATAAGTAATAAAGCAATTATACACAACCTTTTAATAATATAACATGCAATAACCTCGAAACTCCGATGCCATAATTTCAGAAAGCATATCTAATAAGATAGATATATCTGCATATGGTTCATCAGTTTCTTCCTCAGAAGCCGCAAGTTGTTTCTTCCCTGAGCATTTATAAACATAAATATAATTTATATTAAATCACAACTTATAAAAAATAGATATGAATGTATTTGTTACAACAAAAATAAACACCTAAATTAGCCTCAGAATACGCTTTAAACATTTCCACAATTGTCTGGTATACAGTTTTTGTTTGTTCTGGTGACAGCTCAGAAAAGTCTTGATAAGTTACAAACGAATTAAAGAATTGCAACACAAGAAACCCAACCTCGGGACAATTCTTATAATATTGTAAAAGCCTCACAAAGAACTCAAAATATTTTGAACAAAAGTCATAAATGAGTGTCGTGTTGGAAAAGTTAGAAGCCAATGCGAGACCATCAAACATCTGTTTAATAACAATTATATATTTAATATATTGAACAATAATTTAAAAATTAAAAAGGAAACATTCACCTCTAAAGCATTTTGAACTTCATAAATGATGTCAGCTTGTTGGTATACTTGTGAAAAATCAGGTCTCTGCAAAACTGCTAAAAAACGTTTCTAAAGCCCAACGATTTAATTTCAACAAACGCGTAACGTTAAAAAAAAGAAACTCAAGAAAAAAGTTTTATACAAAAAGCGTAAGAACCTCAATAGCCCCAGTGATCATTTGAAAGTACGATTGCTTTATTTCATCATCATCAGCACCTGACGTTATTATTGCTATCGTTTGAATCAATGAACTATATAAATTCGTTGGTAAATTCAATAATAATTATCGAAAAAAATGACAAAGAATTTAAGATAAGCTTACTTATGAATCATTTGTGGGAAATGATCCAAATTTTCGGTAAAAAATGTGAGCAATTCGGGGAAATTATCTACATATATGTGAAAAATTAAGAAAAATGACCAAAATAAAAACTTCACTTGGCATTGAAATAAATAATTCAATCATTACCAGATTTTAGCAATCCATTTCTCAATGCAGACTTCTTTCCATAAGAGTTTAGCAATCTAACAATCTACCAAGAAATAAAGCGTGTAACATTAAGATTCTTCTCACAAAATTGTCGCGGAACGCGTTGAAATATCGCAATAGGATTGGCAAATTTATTTATTTATTTAGCAAACATTATTCAGTATTCAATCGAAAGGAATTATCGATAATTTTGGCCAAATATATATAATGTGCTTGATTTCGGCCAAAAATGATCCAATTCAAACACGATCCGTAGTAAAATTAAAAGAAACGAAAGCAGATTTCCAACCTGTAATAAAGGATCTGAATCACCATTCCAAAGAATAAAATTTGTCTTAATCTTGTCTACCAAAAAATGCAATATACGTATGCCTTCACCGTGACTTTCAGGCTTGCCAAACGCGCAAACGATATTATTACTAATAACATAAATCATAAAATTAAATAAATGATACTCGTTCGTTTTTTTGAATATGTTACAATATAAATATACAGGTGCTATAATTACCTCATGCTTTGATAATCGCTTTCATCGATGAGTAAGTAAGTTCTTCCCCACCGTTCGAAAAACCAGAATAAAGTTTCTGCAACTCGAGGACTACAATGCGATATCTATTGGTCAAAGAATTTAAATAAAGTATTTAATAACACTTATAATATGGCAAATAAATCCATTGCGCAACAAAACGAATAAAAAACCTCAATGACAGAAGTATCTAAAGATACTAGATCCAATATGCCCAACACTGTATTTAGGAGCATAACTATTTGATCATGATTTTTCCCAAGATTTTCCTAAAATAAATAATGAAATCAAAACTAGTTAAATATTTGTCTAAATGAAGTTTCGAGGCCGATTGGTCAAAAATTCAAAATTACCTGGGAAATCGACAATTGCATTAATAAATCGGGAATTAAAGGTTGTTCGCCTTCACCAGGATCAGCTAATACGCATGCAGATATGAGAATCAGCCAGTGGAGACTCTCATAAATATATAACAATGAATGATCTGTAGAAGTAAATTTCTAATTTTAAGAAATTGTTCAACAATGGCGTAATATTTTGTTTTTAAAAGCTTTTCGTTATTAACACATGCCTGAAATTGTAGGTCTACTATTATCTGTGATGGCTTCAAAAAATAATTTTAATTGCATAAGACGCTCGTGCAACAAGCCTTGGAGCTTTTCCAACGTTTGCTGGCCAACAATACGAGCTAATATGGAAATGCTCAGTAATTGATCACCATAAGTATCCTAGTATATAAAACACTAAAGTTTAAATGTTTGCATTTCGAGGATAACAAATCAATCTTCATACCCAGTCTTTAAAACCATTTGTTTCTTCCTCATCGTCATCATTGACTGTAAACTTTGCCGCCTCTAAACGAGTATCTATGTAAGTCGCAACAATATGGTAGCTTGCTTCGGCCAAAAAAGTCATAATTGCAGTTAGATTATGAAACGGAATCGAACGATTTTCGTTCTGACCATTGCGATAAGATTGAACATCTTGGACTGAATGTAAACAGTATCATATATAATTAGAAAGCTAAATTTAGTAATGTGCATCAAGAAAAATAATCGGCCATACCCAATTTAACCCATACTGCCAACAGTTCGTCAAAAGCTTCTAGACTCCATGAACTATCTTCGACCAAATAACCATCTTTCATGACAACACTTTCCCTTAGACATGTCGCACTGAGTTGGGCGACTTCATGCAGGAACGTTGATACATCAGGAACATTGCATAAGACTGACAACGGAAAAGTGCAAAGAAGTCTTCGAATCATTTGCGAAGTACCAAGGAGACTTTGGCCGTATTTATGTAAGGCATCTCTTTCATGCAACATATAGGTCATCATTTGTTATATAGAAAAATTCCAAATTAAACGGATCAAAACTCACTTGTTCATTAATTCTGATATTTCTTTAATCATAAGAGTAATGTATTCAATAATCTGCTGCTCAGCTTCAAAGATCTCTCCGTGTAAACCAGAAATTTGAACCAAGCACTGTCTACAACGATGTGCTAATGACTCATTTTGTTGTACAACTTTATACAGCTAATAAATATATAATAATTATTTTATTAATCTTTTTTGAATTGAAAAATAAGTGTAAAAAGAATCTATTTAAATACGTCACTGTGAAAAACATCCGTAGGACTTCATTATGAATTATAAGACTTCTCCAACTAGCAGGAAATTCTCGCGTTTTAGCGGTGATGAATAATGCATCTTCTATTATGTCGTTCCCTTCTTTTGCAAAAGTACCTGCTAACAAAGAATCATTTTTGCTGGTAAAATCCCAATATAAGATCTTTTCTACAAGATTTAGCGAGATCTCTAAAAGCGTATCATGCCTCAAATCATTTTGTAAATTGTTTATTGTTGTTGAATGGCCATGTCCATTTGTAAAAGACTGTGAGAATTGATTCCCTATGTATAATTGTGATCGCTGATGCAAAATTCGAAGAACTAGTTCAAACAACGGAAGAAGAAAGGTAGCCTGAATTTTGAAAATTATTAATATGTCAATTAAAAAAGATTTTGGCAAAATAATTAAATGTTGGATTGATATTAACTTCAAAGAATTCTTTGGTTTTTTTATGAAAATCCCAAGGAAGGCCGACATTGCTTGCTTTTGTTGTGGAAAATTCATCAACCAATTCATTGGCTAAAGCAATTCCAACTTGTCGCTAAAGAACATGCAAATATTTGGTGGAAATTAATAATAATTTGTTTCTATACAATTAACGCGCATACACTCACGTTGTAACCATCCATTGCCACAAGCTCCTGAATTTGTATCAGTATTGACCGTTTTTCAATTTCATGAAAATCATCAAGGCTTCTTTTGATCATGACTGAAATAGCATGAAGAATCTGTTTTTGGACGTACATCGCGAGACTGCGAATAAAATATTATTTAGTTTGATTTGAATGATGAAAAATTAATTAAAGATACGTACTTTGGACGTTGCAAACAATAATTCAACAACCAATTCTTTAAATTCGACAAATATTCCTTCGAATACAAAACGTAGTCCCGAACCACTGATTCTCTCACCGATAACGCCATGTAAAATTGTACAACATGGGATTGTGTATTCTCTAAAAGAAGATTCATAATATATTCGTGCCAGAAAACTATTAGAATGAGTAATGTCTTAAGATTATTAATGTTGAATTTCATACCAAGAATGTATTGGCATGCGTCCAGGTTTCCTGACATCTGTTTAAAGCTCATAATGACTTGCTCACCCGCATGACGGGTAGATGGTACCTTAAATGTAAATATGTAGGTTTAAATTAATATAAAATTTACGGATTTATAATTCGAAACTTCGTTCGATTAGATTTCTTGACTTATTAACTCGGTAAAGTATTGCCAATACATTAGATTATTCTATAATATATCATTATCATAAGAATTTATTGAAATGAATGTATATTTTATTATACTTTTTCTGATACAAAAATTCGTACAAAAAAATTACGAGAAAGGTATCTCAACGTTGTTTTATACATATTTACATGATATTTGCTATTTCTCAACAATGGGTGCCAACTCTGACTACTCAATCATAATAAACACCTGCAAGTCAGCACAAGCTTCTTCAACTTGCAACAGTACAGTTGAAAGATCCATTTTTCTTGGTTGAATTCGTTCGGGCGTTTGTCATACTAGTCAATATAATTTATGGGTAGTTATACTTTCGGACCCTGAATTAGCGCTACGTAGCCACTACATGTTACGCTTATCAATTTTAGTAAAGTTTGGTACTCTAGCCACGCAAGATCTAAATGTGGCGCGAAATTATGTGATGTAACACTAATAATAATTTTGCAGTAAATGTAACACAATCAGGAAGATCCAAACGTTCGTGCATAACGCACTCAAAAAATCTGTGCCAGGTTTTGTCG